AAGGCTGGAAAAATAAATGATGCAAGAAGGTGGAAGGTTCTGAGACCTTCGGACTTGGAACATATACTTCTAACTGTGAGAATCTGACTGGCGTCGAGCAAAGCTTCCCACTTAGAACAGCTAGAAATCAGATAAAATTCAATAAAGAACTGTTTAAAGGAATTAGAGAGAGTCAATCAGTACTTGAGAAGCCATGATTGCACAGAAAATGGAACCAACAGCCTATGCTTTTCTTATCTCTTTTGGAAGTTAGCTGATTCCTCGTGCCAAGTGTGAGGCAGAGAATGTGGGGAGAGCTCTCACTAGGAGCCAGAGGAGCCAGCAGAGCTTTGGCAATCAGCTGGATGTAGAGCAACATACTAAAATCTAAATTATCAAGCAACCAGGGCTTGAGAGTCCAGAACCTGGAGTGAAGAGAAACACAGGGAGTTACCCTAACTCTCAGTGCTTCTCAGTGGCAGGCTCATGCTGAATTCTTTTGCTGCTCAAGATTCCAGTTTAAGAAGCTAAGCAAAACTATGCTGAAAAATGAGGTGGGGCTGTTGGCAGCCTTACAGTTCCAAAGGGAATGTGTGTGTGTGTGTGTGTGTGTGTGTGTGTGTGTGTTAGGGAGAGAGGGATCAGATTCAGGATTTGCCAAAGAGGAGGGGCCCAGTAAATAGCTCAGGTTTTCATCCAGGATCCCTAGAGGGCTAAACTGTAGGACTGTGGGGACAGATGGAATAGGGCTAGATTGAGTTTCACTAAGACTGAAATTCTCAAGTTAGCTCAGGACATAGGTTTTTTTTTTTTTTTCAGGGGTAGGGTATGGGGTACCAGGAATTGAACTCAGGGAAACTTGACCACGGAGCCATATCCTCAACCCTATTTTGTATTTTATTTAGAGACAGGGTCTCATTGAATTGTTTAGCACCTCACTTTTGCTGAGGTTGGCTTTGAATTTGCTATCCTCCTGCCTCAACCTCCTGAGCCGCTGGTGTTACAGGTGTGTACCACTGAATTCTGCTGGGCCTATTTTTTGTCTAGCTGAGTGGGGAAGATGGGAAACAATATTATCTGGAGACTCTAAATTTTCATACACAATATATTATTTAATAAAAAAGAATTATACACACACACACACACCCCAAAAGACCCAGAATTTGAATAAGAAGCAATAGAAAGTAACATTTGGACATGAAACATTATCACCCAGAACCTCTGAATTTAAGCAATAATAGAAGGATATACATCCTATACAGGACAGGAAAGGTGGGAAAAGCTGCAGGGATAATTCATCTTTCCAAATGATAGTTATCTACTTGAGCACTATATGTTGAAAGCATCAGAATACCTGCTTCCAAATGATTAAAACAATTAAGAGAATTTATTGACTGGTTAACTAAAAAGTCCAGAGATAAGTTGTGTCAGTCAGCTTTCTGTTGTGGTGACAAAAAATGCCTTAAAGGAGGAAAGGTTTATTTTAGCTCATAGTTTCAAAGGCCTCTGTCTAAATTCAGTTAGCTCTGTTGCTTTGGGCCCTGTTTTGAGACATCATGGCAGAGAGCACATAGAACAAAGCTGTTCAACTTGTGATGGCCAAGAAGCAAAGAGATGAAGAGGCATGGTTCTAGTATCCCCTTTAAGGGTACACCCCAATGACCAACCATCATTCTACTATACCCTCAGGGACCAAACTTTCAACAAATGAACTTTGGGAAGCATTTAAAATCCCAACTGTAACATTTGTTAAGCTTCTGGATGGATTTGTTTCTGGGGTTTATCTGTCACCAAAGATTCAGTTCTGCTTGTACAGTATCATCTGTAACCTTCCCAGTAGTAGCAAATGGCTACAGTAACTAGAGACTTCAAGTGTGCACAATTCTTCAGAAGAAGGAGAGAGCTGCTGCCCAGCAGTTTTCTCAGAAGTAGGAGAAACATTCTAGATATGCTGACTCCAGGAAATATTTTTTTTTCAAAAATAATAGGTACAAACACAGTTAAATGTCTATTACCAAACCAATACCTTAGACCAATAATTCTGACAAATAAAACTAGAATGTTTAGTTTGGTTAAAAACAATCACAGCCCATTCTTGGAGAAGAGCACTACGTATTTGGACAGCAGAGGAGTTGGAGGAATACAATCAATAGCTATTACCAGAAGTTTTGAATAAATTATGTAAAATATGATAAAAATAATATAAAGTATGCGTAAAAATATGTCTATGATTACAGATAGAGTGACCATCCTAGAAGAAAATGTGCTACGGGAAACAGAAAAAGATACAAACCACCCACAGAAATTGCTGGGATCTCTCAAAATTGAAATCGAATACTAAATATATAGAGGAAAAGAATTTTAAAAACCCAGCAATTTGAAAGATGGTATAAATAAAATATCAATAAATATAAGTCAGTTTAAAAAATACTTCATAAAAGTACCACAAATACTGGATTAAATAACAGATTAGAAATAAGACAGAACCTAATAAATAAGATCAACAGTCAAATTAGTAACAAGGAAGAAGTTTCTAGGAAAATAAGAAACATAGAGCAGGAAAAAAAAAAAAAAACATGAAGGGAGGCTATACCACTAATGAAGACCAGATGTTGTAGATTAAATCCATCAACAATTGATATTCCTTAAAGTGTAAAATAACACAATTAAAATAGGATGTATTTCAGAATGTAATGGAAAACTCCTGTAAAGTGAGAGAAAGTCTGATCCCATCCACTGGAAACTTTTACTTTAACAGGAAAAACAATTGACAGAGAACACAAAAAGAAATTCTGGGAGATTATATAACTTCCTACCATCAAATTAAAAAAACAAATCCTTACCTTTCAATTCAGAAAACAAAAATCCTCTTCAAGGATTTAAAAGCAATTTTATCTGTAGTTTCAAAGTTATTCCATTAAAAAATATCAAGCTTGAATGAACATGTATATATTATGTATACATATACACCTATGCATATTCATGTGTATGTGAAACTTTACAAATTATTTTAAAATCACCCAAGTACAAAAAGTACCCAAAATCTCCTGAAGAAAAGGATGAATGGAATCGCCCTATTATATCTAGATAATTATGAATGTATGATATTGGCACAGCAAATACACTAGTTTGACATGATAGATCATTCCAAACCATGTATACCTATATTACAAAAATTGATTAATGAAGAGTTGAATTACACACTGGTGAATGAAGACTGGGCTTTCCAATGCATGATACTTACATAATTGATTAGACATGAAAAAAATAAATAAATGAGACTCCAGCCTATATTTGTGTAAAAATAAATATCAAGTGGACTAAAAGGATAAATAATGTGTCAAAATGATTAAATTTTAAAAGAAAATATAAGATAATCTGATTACTATCTTAGATAAAGAAGAAATTCCTTTGTATAGAAAAAAGGGCAGGGGCTGAGGTTGTGGCTCAGTGGTATAGCACTTGCCTAACACATGTGAGGCCCTGGTTTTGATCCTCAGCACCACATAAAAATAAATCAAATAAAGATATTGTGTGTAGTTACAACTAAAAAACAAACAAACAAACCAAAAGGGCATAACCTAAAGGGGGGAAATGGATATATTTGTCTTGTATAAAACCAGGGTATTGTGTTTATCCAAAGCTACCTTAGAGTGTTGGTAAATGTTTAAAGCAATCAGAACTCTAAGACATTGCTGATGGGACTATGAATCAGAACAATCAATCATGCTGGAAAATAGTTTGTGTGACTTCATATATAATACCCGATACCCCACATTTTATGCTCCAGAGAAAATGATGCAGATGAGCACTGGGACAGAATTGTTACATATTTGTAACAATATGTTTTGCAAAAGCAAAATAGACAAACAGAAGCTGGAAATAACCCAACTATCATATAAGAATGGAATGTATGGATTCCTTGTGGTGTAGACATTCCAGTGAATCCTTGAATCATGCTTCAAAAATTAGGTGAATCTCAAAATCATGATGTTGAGGGGAGGGCAGAAATCACGTCAAAGAAGGATACATAGAATACGATTCTGTTTTTATGAAATGCAAAGTTTGTGAGATGATTTCTCAGAAAACCACAGTGGCAGAATCAATGAATAAATATGAAACTTGGCTCTTTGAAAAAAAAATCAAAATATAACCATAAATTTGATTAAGTCATTTAAGGAAACAAGAAACAAAGTAAAAGAAGCACAACTACATATATAATTAAAAACATGTTGATTTTCATTGTTGCTATAATAAATTAACCACAAAATGGTTTAAATTAACACAGATTTATTATCTCACAATTCTGTAGGTCAGAAGTACAGGTGGGCTCAGCTGGCCAGCTGGTTCATCTGCTCCAAGTCTCACAAGTGTCAGCCAACCTGCTCTCCTCTGGAAGCTTTGGGGAAGAATCAGCTTCCAAGCTAATTTAAGTGTTGGCAGAAATCAGTCCTTGTGGTTGTTGGGCTGAGGTCACTGTTTTCTTGTTGGCAGGAAGTCAGAAACTTCTTTCATACCTTATAGCTTCTTATATTCCTAGCCATCCTTCTCTCTCCATCTTCAAACCAGCAACAATGTGCCAGATCATTCTCAAGGTCCCAATCTCTCATTTTCACTTCTGCTACATTCCTTCTATCACATCTGTATGACTCCAGCTGGGTAAAATTCTTTGCTTTTATGGGCTCATATGCCGTGTGACCAGACCTATCAGGAGGATCTAGGAAAATCTCTCCCTCTCAAGGTCTATAACCTTAATCACATTTACACAATCCCTTTGCAATGTAACATGTTCTCATGAATTCTGAATCTTGGGGGATGGGTTTTTCTTGTGTGTCTGTGGGAGTAGAACATTATTTTGCCTACCACAGCTAAAGTTAGAAAAGATACCCACCAATATAAAAAGTAGGAAATAAATATATAAAGTACAACTCAATGCTAATCAGTGAAAGACTGCTGAAACAAATGATTTCCTAAAAACACATAATGTAAGTCTTAGATGAAAAGAGGCAAGGGAAAAAAAAATCAATCTATGGAAAGAAATTAAGAGCATCAAATTTTCTACAAAAGTGCAAATCCAAATCGTTTCAGTTTATTTTATTTTTTTCAAACCTTTCAGAAGTAATAATTTCAGAGTTATCTACATTGATCCCAGAAAACTAAGGAAAGGGCATATCTATGTTGTTTATAGGTATCCAGCTCCTTTTCTGACCAGTATGTTCTCCTCTGTATTTTATTTTATTTCTTTTTTTTTAATCTAAAAAGTTTTTTTTTTTGTGTGTGTGTGTGTGTGTGTAAAAAAAACATTTGCAATGCAGATACTTGTTTTTTGAAAGGGTCTAGAAGCAGCACTTTTGTTAGCAGAATTCTGGTAAGCTCTGTTGGCTAAAGGCACTAATGCAAGATTAGGAAGGAAAGGGTATATTGAAACCATCCTCTGTTTTTGATGATGACGACAGACAGGCCCCATGCTGACATGAGATGGCTCATGATAGCATTGATGTGAGGTGCAGAGATGGTGAGGACCACAACACCCACACACAAGGTCTTCCTTGAGGGGTACCCATGCTTGTTGCCTGTCCTGATCTTAGGCAGTGACTAACTTCTCTCTCCTGCTCTTCCAGCCCTTCCAAATATTTTGAAACCCAATTTTCTGTTTCAAATCCCTCTCTGCTTGATATACTCAGAGTGATTTTTGTTCTTCTTATAAAGCCCCAAGGAGACAGAAGGTAAGCTTTCAAGTTAGTTTTATAAAGCTCACTAAAATTGATCACCTAATCTGTAAAAGAAAGCATAAAGAGAAAACTACAAACCAGTCTTATTAATGAATGTCAATGCAAAACTTCTAAGTAAAATGTAATATAAAATATTAAAATAAAAACAGAATTTAATGAATAATTTTAAGAGTAATAAATCATGAGTAACTGGAGCTCATCCCAAAATCATTTATCATATTAATATATCAAAGGAAGACAGGGAATGAAATAACAGGTGTAAATTTTCCAAAGGAGAGATAAATTTATTTTTTATGGTAATGTAGTTTACATAGCACCAAAGAACTAGCTGAAAAGCTATTAGAAACAATATGAATATTTAATAAAGTGACTGGCTGCAAAATTAATTTATAAAATAATTAGCTTTTATTTTAAAAGCAATAACTGGTATGAAAGAAAATATCTCAGTCAAAAGCAAGGAGAAAAATAAAACTGAATATAAACTTTCAAAAATGTGTGTGACCTACATGAAGCCAACTTTAGAGCAGCGGTGAGGGATACAAAAATAGCTAAAGACATGAAAATACGTATCTTACTTTTTCATTAGATGCCTCAACATTTCGAAGACATTAATTGTTTGTAAATTAATCTACAAAGACCATACTTTCCCATGAAACTGCCAGTGTGCTTCATTGTATTTTTCATGTTTAGAATCTAAAATATAAGCTTGAGAGGACGCTAAGAGAAAAAGAAAAGCAATGCAGTGGACTAGCTGCATCCAAATATAAAATGTACCATGCATGTTAGAGTAAATAAAACGGTATGGCAAAGAGGCAGGAATTGATCTGCTGCTGATGAATAGAGCAGGAATTCCAAAACAGACTCAAGCACCTGTGAGATTTCAAATCTTTGAAAATATTCACTTCTTTATAAATAGTAGTAGGAGAATTAACTGTTTACATGAAATTAATAAAGTCAGATCTCTTCCTCTCTCATAATTACAAATTATTAAAAAGTATAATGTCAAAATGAAAATCATAGATATTAGAAGTGTATATGCATGAACTAATTTTTATTCTTTGAATGGAAAAAAGTTTTTCAAAGAATAAACATAAGTCTCAGAAACCATAAAGAAAAAGAAATAATAAAATCATATATGTTAAATTTTCTATTAGGCAATATCGATAGATGGATGGATGGTTAGATAGATAAAGTCAAAATGCAAATATTACACTGAGCAAAAAATATTTGTAAAACATATGTTAAGCAAAAAACTGAATCCTTAAATATAATAAAGAAAAGCATATTGAGAGGCTGGGGTTGTGGCTCAGTGGTAGTGCGCTTGCCTAGCATGTGTGAGCCACTGGGTTCTATCCAAAGCAACACACAAAAAATAAACAAATAAAATAAAGGTATTGTGTCCATTTATAACTATAAATATTTTTTAAAAAAGCATACTGAAATCAATGCAATAAAAATTAACAAACAATCCAGTGGGAAAATGGGCAAAAGACAGACAAGTAGTCAAAGGAAAGAAATACAAATGTCTAATAACCTTAGAATATTTCTAACCTTCTTTAAAATTAGCAAAATGCAATTTAAAATAATGAAATCCTCACCAATCACATTGGGAAAAATTAAACCAGTCTAAAGTCTTGTTGGCAAAGTAGAATATAGAAGGTGTTGTACTTTGTGGGACTACAAAACAGTATAACCTTTTTGGAGGTAAACAGGAAATTTCTACACAAATTTGAATTCACATATCCCGCAAAGAATTCTGTAGCTGGTATTTTCCCTGAAGGCTTTATGCATTTAACAAATATTTATAGAAGACTTAGTATGTCACTCACTGTGTTAAACACTATGGGTACAGCAGTGGGTGACTAAGACAAAGCCTCTGTGCCCTCAAGGTACCAATAATCTAAGATGTACTGTTGCTCATAATTATCAAAAAAACAAGCAACAGAAAACGTGAGTAGTGGAAGAATATTTGCATGTTTCTAATACATATGACATCATATTATGAAATTATTGAAGAGAATAAGATAAATATAAATATGCTATTGTGGGAAACAAACTATGTGGAAACAGAAAAGTAAGTCACAGAAACTATGCATATAGTTTTTAGACTTTTCAAGGTATACACAAACACACACTCGTGGGCTTCCGATACAATAAAATATCTGGAAGAATGAACACCTCATTTGAGAGGTCACCTTTGGGATGTGGCATTGGAAAGCGAAGGATGAATGATGGGTCCTCATTCATCCAGAATTATGGACTTTCAGATGGTTTAATTATTTTCCTATAGCCAGGTACTAATTTTTAATAACTGAAAAAATTATCTCAGATTCTTGAGGAAAAAGATCTCTCCAAAGGTTTTGTGGGTTAATGTCCATGGTAAGATCTGCTGGTGAACTCCAAGTTCCCATCTCCCAGTGTGGGGAATGGATTCCTGCCTAATTAAGCAGCCCAGCCAGCAGGGAAGGTACAAGCAACACTATCTGGAACACCTGGATTCACATGGAGAGTTGTACTCCTTAATTGTGTGGCAGCCCATCTCAGCTAGAGTTGATTTTTTTCTTGATGTTCAACACTTTTTAGCATTTTCTTGCTCAGACTTCCCTCGCATTTATGGAGTCCTTATTCTAGAAGTCATTGCTGCTGCTGTTTGGTGTTTGAAGGTGTCAGGGGGGAGAGCAATTGTTTATTTTGCAATCCAGAAATAATCATAAGGTGGTTATTTTAATAATCTCCCCTTTTTATTCAGTGCCTGGGCCAAATAGGAACAATCTGTGGCCTTGACTTTTCATTTTGTAAATAAACATTTTCTGGCATCTGCAATGGTCCCCAAGCAGCAGTGCTGTGAGCACTTAGAATAAAACTTCTTTTTTTACCCAGAAGACGTTTGTGATTCTGTAAAGATTTTGTCATGGCATTTATGTAGTCTGATATTCTACAATGCAGTCATACCTACAAATATGATGGATTATGTTTTAGGCACAATGATTGTTTTCAGTGGGGGAAAAGCCTCCCCAGATGAGTTGATACTGGGCTCCATGCTGGGTCTTATGCATTAATCATGAAGTATCATGCTTATGCAAATGTGCAGAAGCCCAATTAGGCAGAGAGCACAGAGCCCTGGGAATAATGTTATGGGCTATTGGGCCTTTGAAATACACTCCTTGGCCAAATTTTCAAAAGCAAAGCAGATTTGAGATGCCTTTTTACTCTTGAAAACAGGTGTACAATTGTCTTCTTAGTGCTTATTTCATGCCTCCAACCTTAAAATAAAGCTTTCTCCCAGTTGGCATGATTTTCCCTCGTTGCTCAACAGGAGCAGTGGAAATTCTGAATCACTGACAAGAAAATAAAATGTTCATTCAAAATCTAGACGTGCTGAGAATATTGAGGATACATCAATATTTGGGGTTTTTTGCCACACGTTTTGAATGTTTCATATATTCAGTTTTCCTCTGGCAGACTCTGCCATCTCTTATATTTTGTGTGATTAATCAAAATATTCTGGTTTCTATTTTGAAAATCCTCTGAACACAATGCAAATATTGTGAAGAGAAAACACAAAATTCTGGAAGACAAGCTCTCCCTTTTCTATATTACTTCCCCTTTTCAAACTTTATTTTGATAACTGGAAACTGCTGATGTCTTACCCACCCCCCAAGTCTTATTTTCATAAGACATTTGTTGAAACTGCTTGAATATTTGGAGAGGATGTCAAGGTGGGTAGAATGAAGGAGGATAAAGTTTAAGTTACTATCACCATGTAAATGACTCTGTCCAAGAGAGGCATTTCAACATGATAATGTCTACACTGCAGTCACATTAAAAACATTCACGGTAAAGGAAGAAAGACTTAAAGATTTTTTTGTTTGTTTGCTGTTTGCATTCAGTTACAATGTAATCCAGATCTTTGTCTAGTTAACACAAGCACCAAACACATATCTGGAATTTTTTTTTTTTTTTTTTTTTTTTGTGTGTGTGTGTGTGTATGTGAGTTTTGCTGGGGATTGAATTCAGGGCTTTGTGCATACAAGGCAAGCACTCTACCAACTGAGCTATATCCCCAGCCCTGAATATTTTTTATTTGACTGAAAACCAGCTTAGGTTCTTAAATACTCTATGTCCACCTTCAAAAATTCTATGAAACAGCTGATTGATGATAAGTTGTTTATGATATAACCCTTGCTTCTCTACAGCATTCACTGATGGCCAGTAGGAAGAGGAGGGAAGAATAGAAGGCAGAGGAAGAAAGAATGAGAGGTACATTTTTCCAGTGTGTGGCAATTGAGACTGCAGTCTAAAAACTCAGGAGGAAAGAATGCTTCATGACTTTCAAAAATGGTGTTCATCTGCTGCCATTTTATGCTTTAGAATGCCCTGGCCATGCCAATCAGATCTGGCTGAAAACTTGCCCAAAACGCCAAGTCTTCAAATACACCTCTTCACATTAGGCTATTTAACAAGATTGGCTTCTCTCCTCCCAAACCATGGCATGCCCTCAGTAAGCTGGTACTGTGCAACTTTTTGACAATAAAAAACATTGTTTCTTTCCCTTTTGTCTGTCTCTCTTATACATAGAAAATTACATATATATATTTTAATTTAAAGTAGCTCTTACTCCTCACTCTATGGAAGACCATAGGGAGGAAAAAATTCTCTGTGTGATCATTTTGTCAGAGGAGAAAATCATTTCTAAATATTACAAAAAAAAAAAAAACTATAATTGGACCAGCAAATGGAGTTGATAGGACATACACTTTATTTCTTATAGCTTGTAAGTAGCTATGAAAAGAAATTCTACCCACTTAGTCAAAACAGGACTGATCACAGTATTGGGGTCCTCTCCAGCAGTATTGTCCTCTCTGCAACCAGAAGCCCACAAAGAAAGTGATCATAGGAGAAGAAAAAGAAACTTCTTCCAGGAAAACATCTGATTCCCATTGAAAGTTTATTTAGATGTTTTCTGTTTCCATAGCAAAAAATTGAAGCAGCAACTAAAGAGGGAAAATTACCATATCAAGTTGAAATTTGTTGCAAGGAAATTTAGTAAAACTTGATACCCTCGAGTTTCCTTCTCCATAAGCAAAGTTATAAAAGGCCTTTGTGTCAATGTTTTGCTTGTTTGTTTCCTTGCTTCTGCTTCTCATTTCTGATTTTCGTGTTTACTATGCAAAACAAGTATCTCCTCCTGATAGGATGGGGACCGAGGAACGGAGTGATGCTGGGAGCTGAGAGATGAGAAACCCATCTGTAAGAGGATGAATGATGGTGTGGTGAGATGGGCGTCTTCCAACAGGATAGCTATTTCTGGGAAAGGTGCTGATTATTCCCCACAGAAATGCAGAGAATGAAGAAAGAGCAGACTTACATTTATTAGTGTCCTTGCTATGGAGTGCAGATGATGTGAGTGTGTCCCCCAGGGGTTCACGTGCTGCAATTTGATCTTCATTGTGAGGTATTAAGAGGGTGGACTCTTGATACGTTTATCATGTTCAGAGGTGGGCCTTGGGGAGTTGATTAGGATTAGATCAACTCACCAGGGTGGAGCCCCCATGATTAAATACTAGTGGCTTTAGAAAAACAGGGAGGGAAAACAAGTAAGCTTTGTGTCTCCTGTCACGTGATGCCCTGGGACAACAAGTTCATCCCCAGATGCAGGCCCTTTGAACTTCAAAACTAAAGAGACAAAATAGACCTCTTCTTCTTAAAACTTGACTGTCTGTGGTATAGTTTCATAAATATGATAAAACGAGTAATCCAATAATCTACCATCCCACATCACCAGCATATCCTTGTACCAAATAAGACTTGTAACTATTTGTAACTGATTCCAAGAAAAAAATCCCAGCATGATTACTTTCTGTTAAATGCCAACATTTGTTCCATCCCTAACAGTCTTGCCCTTTTGCAGTTAGGTACAGTAAGACATCTGATATTGACTATCATACTGTTCCTCACTCTATTCTGTGTGTACTGCCTAGTTACAAAAAATGACGTGATTATCACAGCAGTTCCCAGAGTGTGGTCTGGGGATCCTTAGGGGAACCTCAAGACCCTTTCAGGAGCTTCTTGAAGTCAACAGTATTTTTTTTTTTGGTAATGTTACCTGTCATTTCCACTCCTATTCTCTCAGGAATGTGCAACTGAATCTTACAAAAGCAATACAAAGTGGTATGTCACAACACACTGAGTGCAGAAGCACATAGGAGATTGCAGTTTCATTTTTGTTACCAGACATTAATGAAATTTGCAAAAATGCAGAACAATGTCTTATCTTCCCATTGTTTTTTATTTAAAAAATATCAGCCAATTCATTAAAATATATGATTATATTAAAAATGATGGGTTTCTTTTTATTTTAAACACTTAGTAAATAAATATTCTTATAATCTCTGATTTTTAATTTCTAATATGGGCAATATTGATAGTTGATACTAACGTGGGAAAAAACTCTTTCGAATCTTCCAAAATTTTTAAGAATGTGAGGGAATGCTGAGGCCAAATCATCTGAGAATCTGTGGTCTGCAGAGTAGAGCACAGCAGAGCTGATGTATGAAGGTATGCCTTTCTCTTCCATTCTCCAAAATGCTCCCCCGAGGGTTTGCAGATCAAATAAAGGTGGGCCTTGCTATATGACAACATAATATATGAAGATTAGAATTCACAAGAAAGATAATTAAGTGATGAAATTCAAATTATAAAAAGGTTTTGATGAGATTCTTTTAAGTATACCACACTTTAAGAATATTTAAAGTATGACTAGTTTTCAAAACCCTAAGTACATTTTCAGCTTCTAAGGACACATGCAGTGCAGCCTGGCGAACACCTTGGCCTTAATCCTAGATGGATTTAATGTAATACTCTTTAGATAGGAGAACAATAATAGTAATTTAATTGGGCTTTAAAGACAATGAAGGTGAGAAGTCTATATTTGGCAATTTTTAAAATTTAAAACCCAGAATAAGAAATAAGTCGCATTAAAATGTGACTGGCTCTAGAAGAAAGAGATTAATATCATTTTTCAGAACCAATTGATTTTAATGTGAGTTTTTAAAGGTAAAAATAAGAGAAAATAATCATGCTAGGAGAAACTAGGTTATTCCATTAGATTTGCAGCACCGTGTTGCAATTTGAGGTATTATTAAAGGAAATGAGAGTAAGGAATGTCAATTAAAATTGGTTTGGGAGAAAGCAAAGACTGAGAAACAGAAACACAGAGTTAAGGATAAGAAACTTCAGAAAGAGCAATTCACATGGAACTATCAAATGGTTTGGGGGTCTAGCAAGGAAAGAAAACTTGAACTACACTGGAGCAAAAAATACTAGTTGTCCTAGGAGAGAAACGTATAAGAGATAATGAACAAGTAGACAAGTGGTGTCTAGTTAGTAACAAGAGCAGTGCTAGTGTGCATGTCTGTTGGAAGAGCTTTGCCCTGCAACAAATGACACTGACCACAGGAGCTGGTGGTAGTGATGGACCCTGAAGGTGGTCTGTCCTGAAGAGGAAGTCCAGGGACCCAGGGCATTTGGTCTTTGATTTAAGTCTCTTCTCTGCAGTGGGAGGAACTTACTAATATTTACCTTTTTTCTCGGGGGGAAGCTCCTGTCCTCAAAGTGACCACAGTCAATCCCAAAGGCTCCTGTTTTTGATGGTTATTTAAGGTGCCCTGTATCAGCAAGGACTATTCATTCTAGCATTTTATTTTCAGCCATTTGGATCAATGGACATTTGACTGATCCTTAAGATCCCTATGGGAGGATGGTTTTTACTTTTCCACAGTGATGATACTTGCTGAACTATTTTTTTTCCCCAAATTTCTTGAAATGTCATCATCTTTAGCTAGAAAGGACAAGGAGCTTCTTTCTTCATATGAGAGCTTTTTAAATACTTTAATAGTCACTGGACACAAAAGGTTAGAATGAAAAATTTCGGCCCTCTTCATCGTAGGTGTGCCATAGGCTGTACTTACATTTTCCATTTAATGTATTCCATTCAATATATGTCTCATTTGTCTATGGCTTGTAGCTACTCTAAAATCCAAGTTACCAAATGATACTGCAGTAGATTTTTTAAAGTCCAGTTTTCCTGCCCACATGTTATATAGTTCCAATAAATAATGAGAAATGATCTTTTAAGATGTAGTATCTAATCTACCTATGCTTTTTAGATAATCCTAGGATCTTAGCCATTTAAAACACATAAAAACACATGCACACACATAAAACACACATTGTACTGAATGTTGCTTAAGAAATGTATGAGAAAAACAGGTATGAATTTAGGCTGGGATATAGCTCAGATGGTAGAATGCTTGCCTCTCATGCACTAGGCCCTGGATTCAATCCCCAGCACCACCACCAAAAAAAAAAATTAGAATTTAAACTGAGAAATTTGATTTGTTAACAATTTAAGGAATTTCTAAGGCTGCAAACTGCAAAAATCTACAATGCTTAAAGAGAAATAAAATTATATACATATGTGTATGTATATTATAGTGTATATATATATATATATATATATATATATATATATATATATATATACTACACAGAAAAAAATTCCACACCCAGAAGATAGGCCCCTTCTTATTAAACTTACAAAATTATTGAAAAGAAATTTTCAGGCATCCTTTTATATTTCAGAGTAACAGGAATCTTGCTTATTATTTTTTCCTCTTTTTAAAATTTGTTCTTTTTAGTTTCATATGATAGTAGAATGTATTTTGACATATCATACACACATGGAGTATAACTCCCCATTCTTGTTGTTGTACATGCTGTGGAATTACACTGGTCATGTATTCATAGATGAGCACAAGAAAGTTATGTTTGATTCATTTTACTGTCTTTCCCGTTCCCATTCCACCACCATTTCTCCACTCCTTCCTGTTCAATCCTGTGAACCTCCACTCCTCACTACCCCCTGCCTATTGTGAGTTTGCATATGCATATCTGAGAGAACATTCAGCCTTTGTTTTTTTGGGATTGGCTTATTTCACTTAGCATGATAGCCTCCAGTTCCATCCATTTACCAGAAAATGCCGTAATTTCATTCTTCTTTATGGCTGAGTAATAATTCATTGTGTATGTGTACAAACTTCATTTATCCATTCATCTATTGAAGGGCACCTAGGTTGCTTCCATAGCTTAACTATTGTGAATTGAGCTGCTATGAACATTGATGTGGCTGGGTTATTTTAAGTCCTTTGAGTATAAAACTAGTAGTGGGATTACTGGGTCAAATTGTGGCTCCATTCCAAGTTTTCTAAGGAATCTCCATACTGCTTTTCAGAGTGGTTACACCAATTTGCAGTCCCACCAGCAATGTATGAGTATATCTTTTCCCCATATTTTTGCTAACATTTATTGTTATCTGTATTCTTGATAATTGTCATTCTGATTGGTGTGATATGAAATCTCAGTATAGTTTTAATTTGCATTTCTTTAGTTGCTAGTGATGTTAAATATTTTGTCACATATTTTTGATCATTTGTGTTTATTCTTCTGTGGAGTGTCTGTTCACTTTCTTTGCCCATTATATCCTGGAGATT